CCCCCCCTCCCCTCCCCTCTTCCCCGGTCACCCCGCGACCCCCGCCCCGCTCCGTCAAACCGGCGAACCGTCAAGCTTCCCCGGCGCTGCCGCCCGGCGCTTCCCCGGTGCTGCCCGGCGCGGCCCCCGCAAGGATGCTGGTGAAGGCGGAGGTCCTGGCGCCGGCCGCCGAGGACGAGCTGCTGCTGCTGGGGCTGGGCTCGCCCGCCCCCTCGCCCTCGCTGCCGTCCAGCGCCGAGGAGGAGGAGGAGGAGGAGGAGGAGGAGGAGGAAGAGGAGGAGGAGGAGGAGCCGCGAACCGCCCCGCCGGCGCGCCCCGTGGAGGCGGCGGGCGGCCGCGGGCTGCGGCGGGCGGAGGGGAAGCGGCGGCCGGGGCGGTCCCGGGGCGCCCCGCGGGCGGCTCGCACGGCGGAGACGGCGCAGCGCATCAAGCGGAGCCGGCGGCTCAAGGCCAACAACCGGGAGCGCAACAGGATGCACAACCTGAACGCGGCGCTGGACGCCCTGCGCGACGTGCTGCCCACCTTCCCCGAGGACGCCAAGCTCACCAAGATCGAGACGCTGCGCTTCGCCCACAACTACATCTGGGCGCTCACCGAGACCCTGCGGCTGGCCGGGGCGGCGCGGCTCGGCCCCGACGGGGCGGCGGGCGCGGGGGTCCCCGCCGAGGGCAGCCCGTCGCCCGCCTCCTCCTGGAGCGGCGGCACCGCCAGCCCCGCGCCCTCCGCCTCCCCGTACGCCTGCACTTTATCGCCCGCCAGCCCCGCCGGCTCCGCCTCGGACCCCGAGCACTGGCCGGGCCGCTTCGCCCCGGCGCCGCCGCTGCCCCGCCGCTGCCTCTAGCCCGCCCCGGCGCTCCCGGGGCTCCCCCCGGGGCGGCGGCGGCATCTGCCCCATTCCCAGGGCAGGGCGGGCTGTGGGAACGGCACCTGCCAAACCAAACTTTCCGTCTCTCTCTCTCTCTTTCTCTTTCTCTCTCTCTCTCTCTCTCTCTCTCTCCGATGTGCACTTTGTCCAGTTTTCCCAGATCTGTCACCGCGGGGCTTTTGTGTGTCCCTGTCCTTCCCCCCCCCCCTTTCCCCGCTCCCCCCTTTGCCATCTGTCCCTTATGATTTATAGGCGGGAGGGGGGGGGTTGGAAAGCGAGAAAAAAAAAAAAAAAGTAAATTGTTTTGTTAGGGGTCCAGGTTAGAAGTCATTGTATAATTTGTAGGCTTTGTGAGGGCTGAATGCAAGCGTGGAAATTTAGGCTGAACTCTCTATCAAAAGGGAAAAAAAAATCGGGAGGGGGGGAATGGGGAAGGATCTCCTCATACATTATTTATTTCGACCTTTAGGGGACGAGGAACTCCCCCCTTCTTTCAGGAGATTAAAAATAAATCAACAGACTGAAAACCTCAACAGACACGGAACATTACAGCGATCAGCCACACACGTGTTCACATTTATTTATTATAAAGACAGATTTCATGGAAAATATGTATTTTTTTGTATAATTTACAGAGTTTATTCTAGTATGTATTTACAGCTGAAGAGCAAAGGGACCGTCCTTGTGATAAAATATAAATAAAAAGCTCTAATTTTCGTACCTTTGGGGCTGCTGCTTTTTCTGCTTTACGTGACAGCGACCGGGAATTACGGGATTGGGCCTGTCCTTGGTGAAACCAGGGTCTGGTGGGAGCTGATGCCACTTACAGCAGGTCCACGGGCAACAGCTGCTTCAGGAAACTGCAAAAAAACCCATTGTATATGTATATATACATATTTATATATATATATATAAGTTCAGTGGAAGTTTACTGATCATTTACCTTTGCCTCTTGGTACAGAAGATGCTGACAGCAAACGTGGGATGGATGGATGGATGGATGGATGGATGGATGGATGGATGGATGGTTGGACGGATGGATGGATGAATAGATAAACAGCTATCACGCTTCTTCAGGCCGAAGGATTTCACCGAGAAGGCCACAGGAAATAAATGTTACTGAGGAAAAAATGATTGGGCTACGAAAGAGGAAGAATTCCCTTTCTCTGCCTCTCTGAGGGACGGGTGAATCCCAAGGCACTTGCAATTCCAGGGGGTTCGGTTCAGTGTGCACAGCACACGGCCAGGGATGTCACCATGGAGGGGGATGCTGGAGGCCGCCCAGGCCCTTCAATCATCGTGCCCGTGCGCCCGGGAGCACTTTGTGACTTCTGGGTACAAACACCTGGAAATCATTAAAAACCAGCAGAGGCGCCTGAATGTATTAATTAAATAAAATGCTCAGCACGCGAATCCCGCCCGGTGCCCTCCGGATCAAAACCCGGCCCTCGGAGCGACGTCCGCGAGGCGGGGGCAGGAGGGGAAGAGAAAAAAAAAAAAAAAAAAAAAAAAGCCCAAAATGTGTGAAAAGAGAATTAGTGAAATTAGGTTAGGCCAATAAACCAGGCAGGGGTCCCCCAGCCGCGCAGCCTCGGGCGAGCAGCGCTATCTAGCCTGATCTATTGTTTCCCCCCCTGGCAGGGGGGTTATTGTGTGATAAATAATTCCCTAAAAAAAAAAAAAAAAAAAAAGAAAAGAAAAAAAAAAAAGTGGGAGCATTTGCATAATCACCGCTTTGATGTGGTCAGCAAGATGAAGCTGTGTCCCCCCAAATCTGCCACGGGCCAGGAGGAACAAAACAAGAGGGAGCCTTTGACGGTGCTGGCGGTGTGTGGGGCAGCCCGTCGGGAGAGGGTTTTTCACTCTCACTCTCTTTTAACGACCCCTTTTACTGATTAAACTCCAGGAATGTCAAAAAGAAGCCGAGAGAGCCTCGCTCTTGCCCTCTCCGTCTTTTCTGGTCGGCTCTCATTGTCCTTCCCGGTTTCTCTCCCGCTTTTAAGAGGCGCTGGAGTAGGTGCCTTCAGCTCTTCAAAAGGCCAGGATGGATGGGATGCACTCCTCTCTCGGTGCTGGAGCCGTGCAGGAGCAGGAGGGACATCCCGGCTGGCTCAGCACTGGGATGCTCCCTCCAGCTGTCCTTGGGGAGGGACTCTGCTTCTTGCCGGGTGCATCATCCTGGAGGGATTTTCCTCCATCCCAGGTATAGACAGGAGCATCCCCATCCTGCCGGGGCTGTGGCGATGGGAACCGCCGTGGGAAAAAGCACACGGCGCGTCGGAGGACGGAGGGGGGCTTTGGAGAGGGGTTTGGGGTGGGAGTCATGCCAGCCAAACCTTCCGTGCTCCCTGTGGAAGGCTGGGCTCAGCTGGAGATGCCCTTGGAAGAGACGGGCCCAAGCGGGGCAAGGCAGGGAGGGGGAGACAGGGCTGTGTTGGCAAAGGCTGAGCCAGAGAGGCTGGATTTGCCACCTAACCCAGTCACCCTCATCCCAGTTTTTCACTTGAATGTGGCCAAAAGCATTTATTTCCCTCTTTCTTCCATCTTAACTTGAGTTTATTCCTCTCTTTCCTTCTTTTTTTTTTCTCGTATTTCCCGCTTTTCTCTCAGAAGACTGGTTTTTGGAGGTCCCCAGAGCCAATTGCAGCCAACCTGGAAGCGACCCAGGAGACGCAGGACGGAAACTCACCTCCTTGGATGACGAAACAAACCTGGGGGTGGTTTCCATGGCAGCCCCTTGCCCCCAGAACATGTGTTTATGATCCTTTTGGGTATTGTATTTTGGCATAAAAGCTCCTCCACACTTTCAGGGCTGGAGGGGCAGCACGAAAGCCCCCGAGGGGGTTTTACAGCCCCTCCTTGGCATAAGAATAGTGCCGAGGAGCCAAAGCGGTCCCAGCCGCACCCCAAGGGCTGCCTCGCTCCTTTTCATGTCAAGCATCAATCTTTCCACGTAGTGCCATCATTAAAGAGTGTTCCCAACACAGCCCTCACGTGGCTGGCAGATCCCAAGCCCAGTTTTCCTAAAGCCTTATTCAGGTGCCTCAGGTTGGGCTTCACCCTTGTCCAGGATTATGAGTGGATTTGGCCCATGCGGCCCCAATTCCCGTTCCCCACGGGCAAAAAAAAAAAATAAATTTCAGTTATCTATTATACAGTCAATCCTCTGGCAGAAACAGAAATCCCGGTGGGAATTTTGTTGCAACCCGGTGTAGGTTCTTGTCTTACTACAGGGCTAAATCTTGTGTGTTATGGCCTAAGAAATTCTTTTGCTCTGACAATGTAAGGATATCAGGATATCAGGATATTAGGATATCGAGATATTAGGATATCCTGCCTTCTGCCTAGGATGCTGGAACAGCTGTGCAGGTCCAGCAAAATACTGGCATCCTGCTCACCCCCGTGACCTCTTGTACAGAACTCAGATCAAGGAGAGGTAGAACTCTCGCGGTGCTCGGATTTAAAATAAAACCTTTAGAAATTTCCCGGAAAGAAAAGAAATCCTCAGAGGGTCACTTTTTGCAGCGGCCGGGAGGGAATAGGGACGGTGCTGGGGCGGCTGTGACATGCAGCCACCCCCTTCCCCTTGCCTCCCCCTCCTCCTCCTTTTATTAAAAAAACAGAGAGCCCGGCCCAAAGCTGACGGCATATTTACCTTCATGAGTTTTAAAAAAAGTTAATTACCGCTCGGAGCAAGTTGGTCGGGCTGTCCTGAGCTGTCTTTTATTAGTAGTCGCCTTCATTAATTTCCCTCGCTGGATTTGCTGCTAATAGCCTGCCTGGTCCTGGGCAGCACAAAGCAGCATCTGTGCCATTGAGCAGAAAAGCGGGAGTCAGGCAAAGGGGGGCACTGGGGAGGGGGGGGGGGGGGCGACGCCGTTTGCAAATCAACCTCTATTAACGTGATGTCCTGCTCGGAGGGGACGGCAGCCCCGGTAGCCGGCACGGCAGTTTGGGCTCCGCTCGGCTGTTACCGAGGGAGGAAAGGCACCTGCTGCCTGCTGGGAGGGGGACCCTGCCCTCCTCCTGCGCCCCTGGGTGCTGGCTGTGCCACCCAGCCACCCCCTGGATGCGGGAGGGGAAGAGGGATGCTGGACCTGCCTCTGCGGGATCTGCGCTCCCCCTCGGTGCCGTGGGTGCTCTGGTCCTCTGAGCAGCATCCACTGATCACCAAAGTATTAATAATAACTTGTTATCTTTGGATGAAAGATACGCTCTGCCTCAAAAACAGCTTGGCAGAGAAGTTTGGGATTAGGGAATGGGATTAAGTTCTGTTCGGAGGGGCACAGTGGGCAGGCTGGGGGGGGCTGGAGGCATCACCGACTCACACGAGCTGGGGCAGCGGGAGGCTGCGGAGGCCAACAGCCCCATCTGCTCCCGCTCTGCCAAGGGACAGGGGAGATGATTTCATCCAAGTGGAAAAAAGGAGGGTGGCGTGTGTCGCTCCCAGGAGAGGGGTGAGAGCTGCTGCCAGTTTCCCTGCAGGGTCAGGGAGGGCACCTGGGTGCCGGTGCAGGGACTTCCCTCGGGGCAGCAGGTGACAGCAGCAGTTATCAAGTTTTTTTTTGTTTGGTTTGGTTTTTTTTTTTTTGCTTTGCTGCAAATATTCCCGCTCTGGTTAGCGGGTAGGAGATGCCGAGGAGACTGGTGCTGCCGTGTCTTTCCAAGCAGAAGAGATCGGGCAGCGCGGGCTGCGGTTCTGCGCTCGCTGGCGTGAGGCTTTGCCCTCAGCCCCCATGAATAGCTGCGTCTGGTGAAGGAGCGGCGCCTAAATCCAGCAGCTGGGCCCCAGGGGCAGCTAATGCCGGGTTTATGGCAGCAGGGACGTGCTGCCTCGCGTGCAGGGGCTGCCTCACAGCTGGAGGGGTCACCTCCCGCCCGCTCCCCGCCGGCCGTAATGGCCTGGGATGCTGAGACTCACAGGGAGGCAAGCCTGGCTCTCAGCACTGTATTGTTGGGATAACTGAGGGGCTCCC